CACCTCCTTCTTTATATTTCCTTTCTTTCATACCTTCTCATTTTCAAAGTTTTCTGGGTTTTATGATGCTGTTTTCATATGTATGTATATATGTATACATACATAATTATTGTAACTTGTAATTATTGTCATCATTGCTTTAGGTCTCTATATCTATATCAATACCTATCTTTATCTATATCTAGTATCATCAATCTGTCTATCTCTTCTGTATATCTTCATTTGTTCATCTGTTCATTGGTTGTTGGGCTCTGGAGTTTCTTGGTTTTGCTGTGGAAGGGGTAGTCTTACCTGAGATGTCCTGGTAGTAGCTGGATGATTAATACTAGAAATAATGGGACAAAACAACATCATGCAAGAAGCTCAATTTGACTGAACAACCCTTAATTTTTGCTGTTATTCATGAGGGTTTTTTTCCACATATATTCATTTGAGTAGTTATGTTCTCTTTATCCTTTTAGATTTTTTTCCTATCTCAATAGTTTAAAAAATGCTCAATACTGGAAAATAGCAGTTTTGAGAGCTTGAAAGAGTGTTCTCTCACTGAAAAATCCTGAAATATGCTCTGGAGATGACTTGTGAATTCCTAGAAGTAGTTCTCTGTCTCACACTGAGTCAGTTTGGTAAAGAAGGGGGAAAAAAAATAGTATACCCTAACACACTGCTCATGAAATTCTCTCTTGTCACTTTCCAATCTTATCTAGCTTCATGAGGCTTATTTGTCTTTACCCTAGTCAGGGTAAAGGGTCTCCTGGCTGTCTCCAGAAGCCAGCCCCCTGTGCCCTACCCTGTAAGCTAGAGAAATCTCTGAGAACACTAATAAGATTTCTTAGCCTAGCTCATTGTCATGGTTTCCCTGACAGATACTATAATAGGTATTCTAAAAACAATGTCAGAATGGAAAAGGCTGAAGTTTTGCTCCTTTTTCAAAAACTTTATTAGATACATGCTGGCCCCCAGAATGGATACCATGTAACTGGATACGGTATCATGACCCCATGTCATTAATGCTAAATTTCTTTTTTATAATGAATCATTTTTTTCAAAAAAACAGATCCAATATCCATACCAGGTTCTCAAGCATTTTCATTTCAAGGAGTTCCAGAAATATGAACTATGGCCCATAGGCCAGTATCCATGTATCCTAGTGTGGGTGAAAAGCTTTTGATTTGGTTTGTCATTTCCTCCCACTGGGATCACCTTCATATTGAATCTCATCCCTCCACTTTTTATCTTCCCCTTTGCCTTTTCACTGAGACAGGGTCACATGTAGGGTTTCTATGTAGCTTAGATTGGCCTTCAAATCGCATTCCATTCTCATCTTCCCTAGTGATGGAATTAGAGGCCTGTACCACCACACCTACTGGCCTCCTTTTTCTAAGCAGGTCTTTGCCAGTATAACTCCCCTCATCTGTCCCTATCTACTTTAAACCCTGCTCTGTAAAGTTAGCCTTTCTGAAGGTCTCATTCCAACTTGCAATGTGAGTGCAGTTATTCCCTACACAGAGATTTTTGTCTCCAATAAACCACCTCTAAACTTAATGGCTTAACATTGCTTATTTTTGAAGGGTCAGGAATCTAGGACCCAGGGCTTTGTGTGTCCTACAGGCTTCAGCACTTCCTCATGACTCACAAAGTGTTAGCAGGATACACTTCGTCCCAGGTGTTGGGTGATGGTCTTGCTTCCCCTTGACCTGGTGTCCAGGGGACTCTCTTAATTTCTACTTGTCTCATGACAACTTACTTCACCAGAGGAAAAGAAGAGGGATGGAGGAGGGGGGGGGCGGATGGAGATTTGAGAGAGATGGACAGATACTTAGAGAAAATTCCAAGCTTGGAAGTAATAAGCCCTTGTTCTTCCCATGTTCTGCCGTTCAGAAAAAAGACCCTGGATCCTGCCCATATTCAAGGGTGATCGGTCACACATAAAGGGGGGGATAATGAGGATTGCTGAGGACTGAGAAATCTGTATACCCCAGCATGTAGGACACTTGTGGTCAGACCTAGGAGAGGAAGTCACAGTTGGATAGAATACTGCTTGTACTCTCCTTACTTTACAGACTTTCCTGGTTTGGGCCTCTTGGTGCTATGATGGTGATTCCAGGGTTTAAAGAGAGATATATTTTAAATAATCCAGCTCCTAAATGTCATTTGAAAGTCAACTCCCTCATTTGATCTTCAACTGAAGAAAAAGTGGTCTATTTTGGTGCTGAAAAAACTTGGTTGGACTTCTAAGTAAAGGCGGTACAGCTGACCGAGAAAGTACATTTTTTTTTTTTAATCCTAAGGCAGGGTCTTGCTCTATAGCCCAGGCTAGCCTCCAACTTAGGATTCTCTTGCCTTGGTATCTCAAGTGCTAGAACTATAGTCCTGCACCACCAGGCCTTTGACACAAAGCATCCTTAAGAGGTTTCTCAATGTAATTCAGACTCTGCAATTTGGGGTGTAACCTGGAGTGAGAGGATAACATTCTGTCTTCAAATGTGGCTCCCACTAAAGGCTGTTGCATTTTGCGTACTTGGCGTTTGAGCTGGGCACTTCTTGACAGCCTGTTTATGCTTAAATCATATCTAGCACCAGTATTATAGCACTCAATATTCTTTAAAATAAGTATGTGCTACTGTACTGTCTTTCTCTGTGTTTTTAGTGCACCAGGCAGTACATTTACTAATATTGCTAGTGTTTTAATAGTTGAACTGTTACAGAACTGTCTCTGAGGTACGTGCTCAAAAGCAGTGTCTATACTTTCTGTGCCTATAATTTATGTGTTATTTTACTAGTTAGGGCATTGGTGTGTGTGTGTGTGTGTGTGTGTGTGTGTGCATGCATGTGAGCATGTATGTGCACTCACACGTGTGTGTGGCAGTACTGGAAATCAAGACCTTTTGCATCTAGGGAGGCACTTTCCATAAAGGTGGTATATTTGCCATGCCTCTAGTCCCTTTTTGCCTTGAGATATAGGATCTTGGCTCTAAGCCTGGGATTACAGCCCGTACTTCTTCAGGAGCCAGGATAATAGGCATGGGCATTCTGCCCAGCCATTGGTGGAGATGGAGTATGGTGGACTTCTATGCTTTGGATGGCCTCAAACTCTAATCCTCTGACATCTACCTCCCAAGTTACTAGGACTACAGGCTTGAGTTTACTGTATTGTTAGATTTAGTGGGGTTTTAAACTTGCATCAAAATTCTCTACTTTTGTCTAACTAATTTCCAAATGTTTTTTCCCTATTAAGTCAAAGGAATCGCCCTAATTTTGTTCATATATTCAGTGTGATCTTTCAAAGCTACCTTTGGTATTAGATGTAATAAATAGCTCTGAGTGGAATGTATGTACAGGTTCCTCTGACTTTTGTGGGTTCAAACTGCTCTAGGTGCATATTCTTATTGTCATTGGATTCTATACCATTTTCTTACCCCTTAAAATGTGTTAGCCACTGGAAATACCTCCTAATTCGTGTTGATGCCTTGTCTGCATCTCTTAGTGGTTAATACTTGTAGTCCTGCAGTCTTCACCAGTCCAAATGAGGCTCCAAAAGAAAGCAAGGCAAAGCAAAGCAAAGCAGATCTCCCCCGCCCCCAAGAAATGTATAGAAACACTCAAATAAAGGGGGTGGGATGACTTCTAGAATCAACAGCCTTATCTTACCAAGAATGTTTTCTTCTTTACTCGTGGCATTGTGTTCATTTGTCCAGGAATGTATTTCCAAAATTGTCACGTTCAAAAGTTTTAAATTGGATGGGCTGGGAAGTTGGCTCAGTGGTAGAAGCGCTTGCCTTGCATGCCTGAGGCCCTGGGTTCGATTCCTCAGCACCACATAAGCAAAAATGAAAAAAAGCCAGAAAGTGGCGCTGTGGCTCACAGTGGTAAAGCGCTAGCCTTGAGCTGAAGAGCTGAGGGACAGTGCCCAGGCCCAGAGTTCAGGCCCCATGACCGGACCCAAAAAAAAAAAGTTTTAAATTGGACTGTAATTGTCTCCATAGTTAAAGTTATTCTCTCTCTCTCTCTCTCTCTCTCTCTCTCTCTCTTTCTTTCATTGGCCATGGGGCCCTAGGCACTGTCCCTGAGCTCTTATTCCCTAGGCCAGCACTCTACCACTTTGAGCCATAGCTCCATTTCCAGTTTTTGAATGGTTAATTGGAGATAAGAGCTTCATGGGGACTTTGCTGCCCGGGCTGGCTTCTCCCCTTTTATCTTTCTGTGATATCTTGAATATTTTCTCCCATTCTATTACCACTGTAACACCACATTTCCAAGTAGAAGACCACACTCAGAAGAGGGTCTTTATTTTTTTGTTGTTGTTGTTGATGATGCTGGTACTAGGACTCGAACTCAAGACCTTGTGTTCTTATGTTCTGCTTTCTTGTTCACACCTCTACCACTTGAGTCATACCTCCAGTCTGGCATTTTGTTGGTTATTTTGGGAAGTCTCACAGGCTTTTCTCCTCTGGCAGGCTTGGAACTGTGATCCTTGCAGGTTTTAGTCTCCTGAATAGCCAGGATTACAAGTGTGAGCCACTTGTGCCCAGCTAGGGTTTTCTCTAAATGTATTGAGAGTCCATTGGAGTAGGCTAAAAATGAGGACCTAAAACAGATCTGGAGGTTAGTGGAGAGTGATATTGAACATGCATTCCAGTAGGTTTTATAAGAATACTCAGTGACCTCTACATGGGTAAAATGGATGCCAGGCTCTCCTTTGACAGCCCCCCACCCCAAATGTACCAGTGTATGTTACTGCCATGAGTTTTTTACTGTAATGTTTTCTAGTTGTGATTCATTCACAGTTTAATATGCTTCTAGTTCTGGCTTGACTTTTCCCCCCAGGAATTGCCTAAAATCTCTTCATTATAATATAGACGGTGTACTGCAGTTTGAATACAAATTTATCCATGTTCAGACTAATTTTTCTTGTGATTGTCTCTACCCTGGAGAAGAGCCTTTAATGAATTACATACAAATTGTGTAATTTAAGAAGTTAATTTGGTTTTCTGGTTACACAGGACTAAAAACAGCCCTTGTAGAAAGAGATGATTTCTCATCAGGGACCAGCAGCAGAAGCACTAAATTGATCCACGGTGGTGTGAGATATCTTCAGAAGGCCATCATGAACTTGGATATGGAGCAGGTAATTGTGTATGCTGGTTGTTAAACAAAAATTGCGACTATGCTTTTTTCTACCCAATTAAATCAGGCACACTCTCTCTTTCTTTTTAATGGCTTTTAACATTTCTTCCTGTTGGAAATACCTATTTAGTGTATGCGGCTGGAATATCTTTCAGGAGAAGAGTGTCAGCCTTTTCCTATAGTATTATGTTTATGGGTAATCAGGGCCTCTTTCTGCACAGCTGTGTCAGAGTAGCAGATTTACAAAGTCACTTTTGGATTTGTTGCCTTTTAACAATTGTGACTGAGTTTTTGCCAATGGCCACCAAATTGCTCCTTTGCAAGCCGTTTGAAGGGAGCCGTGTTGTAATGTAAGGGTGTGCCAAAAGGATCTTCTTAACTGCACTCCACTCACAATCATACTGCACCCACAATCATACACTCATATTGTTCCTGACATATTTTGAGGGAAAAGATGATCTGAGTCATGCTTTGCCCCGGTCACACTTTATTGTGTCCAGTCTGCCACGATTTGAAAACTGCCAAGGCAATGTGGAAAATGACATTTCCCAGAGGGGTAAAAAAAAAAAAAAAATCAGCCGCACTTCTTACCAGGTTTTTGAACATGAAAAGCATAGCAGCACTGACTTGGCATTGTCAGGTTTTGATTCTGTCCTCCCTTTTCTCCTGACAAGTCAGTTTTGAATCTGTCCCCTTTCTTATGTATCTCCTCAGCATCATGATGGATTGGAAACACATGCACACACACACACACACACACACACACACACACACACACACACACAACTAAAAAACCAGCATCAGCAGAGGACTTTAACCTAGCCAGCTCAAGATGTGTTCTGCTTTGTTTATTCAGTATCTATGAGCCTTGGTCATCTCCTTTGTAAAATTAGAATTATCATAACAATTTCAGCCCTTTAGAGAGGCATAATAAAAACCACAGGAGTTAAGACCAAAGCTTGCTTATAATCTGTAAACTACTGGGCAAAGCTCATCTTTGCTGGGTTTAGTGGAAGCAAGTGGGGAACTTTTAGCCTGAATTTGAACAATCTGTTATTTCTTACCTGGAGGAATTATTAAGGGGAGCTGAGAAAGGAGGATAATATAGAGAGTGCAAGATAAATGGTGACAATAATCTTGTAACTCAAGTCAGGGAAATATCTTACACCTGGGAACTCTGACAGCATGTTTTTCTCCTATGCAAATACAGTTAAGGTTTCTAAAAAATCTTTTGAGGTTGACAGCATGATGTATTATTAGAAATTTGATTAGGAGGGAGCTCTCCTCGCTCACAGGTAGAAGTTTCTGTGTATCAATCAGATGGCAGGGTGTCTATTGCCATTTGAAAATATTATGATCTGTTACTGCCAAACTAATTTTCTCTGTTTTGATTTTCAGTATAGGATGGTGAAAGAAGCCCTTCATGAGCGTGCCAACCTGCTAGAAATTGCTCCTCATTTATCAGCCCCATTGCCTATAATGCTTCCAGTTTACAAGTAAGCCTTTGCTATCACCTTTATGGATACACTTTGCTTCTGTGAGGTCAATAGAACACCACCGTTTTAATGGAAATACTCCCTCAATGTGTATTTCTTAATGTGATTTTAATTGGTCCTAATCTTTAATCCTGTTCAAATATTTTCTTTGCTATATTTAAAAGTGTGAATTTTCTTGAATATCTTTTATAGACTTATATCTAAGGACCAGCCCTTGAAGACAGAGATGGTGGCATTTGGAATTAGTAGCATTTGTAATGAATAATCTGAGGGAATCATTTGCAAAATATGAAATATAGAAACTCTGCACCTTACCCCCACTCGTCCCCCTCCCCGATTTCTCTCACTATAAAATTTGAACAAACTCAAAACCTGAACTTACTGTGCCAAAATTAACCTAAACCAACATTTTCTAGGTAACATCAAATTACAAATTTAAAATCCCAGTTTTCTTAAGATTGTTAAAGCTATACAAAAGGTTTCCGTAAATTGAAGACACAAGTATAGTCATATGAAAAAGTGGATTATTAGTCACATGTTTCCAGTGCTTGAAAAGCAGACTTTATAGTTTTTGTCCAGAGACTGCTTAGGGATTCTTGAATCAGTGATTCCAGACTCTGGGTGCTCTTTGCAAGTTATCCAGGCCTCTATTCCAAACTAGCTCCATCCGTCTTGCCGTGTGAAGCCAGATACCAATGTCTATTTTTAATGTTTTCCTCAAGTATTCTAATATACAGCCAGGATGAGAGTCTTACGTGAGACTCATTCAAACTTCAGATACATTTACTTATACTGCAGCCAAATCAGTTTTGCAGGCATCCTGCTTTGTTTGGAGTCCATTTCTAGGTACGCTTTGTTTTAATTAAGTGAAGTTTCTTATAACATAGGACAACCTTCTATAGTATTGTACTCTTTCTAAAATAATCTTTCCTATTTATGTTGTAGATGGTGGCAGTTACCTTACTACTGGGTAGGAATCAAGATGTATGATCTGGTGGCAGGAAGCAATTGCCTGAAAAGCAGTTACGTTCTCAGCAAATCGAAAGCCCTTGAGCATTTCCCTATGCTTCAGAAGGACAAACTGGTAGGAGCAATCGTCTATTATGACGGTAGGTGATGCTTTATTTTCTACTATACACACACACACACACACACACACACACACACACACACTACTATTCCCTTAGAACACTGTAACCCTTATAGTTCAGTTTAGTGAGATAGTTTTAAGTTATCTTAGTGCTAACCTTATACAACATGAAATGTACATGTACACAGACTCACTGTTTTTTCCAGTACTGGCTGAAAAGCTAACCATAATGTTTAGCTGCTAATCCTGTTTGGTTCCTATATTCCTTTTCTTTTAATTTTTTTCCTACTAGTGTCTTATGGTTGGTTTGGTCCATTTCTCATCATTATGAATTTAGAACCCACTCTCATACTATTTAATTTGTTATATATTTGCTGGTGAATACTTGTCTTATGAATATATTATAATGGTAAAAGCAGCTGAAGACATGTTAGGTTTCTTTAGATGAAACCTCTATTTTCAAGGGGTTATAAACTTAGGGAAAAATGCCCTTTGGGCTGAAATTGACATGTTTGTATTTTCCGTAGGACTCATTCTTGAACATGTAATTTATGTGATGAAGGTAGATGAATATTGCATCTGTTAAACTAAACCCTCAGGTTTTATTGTTTATTTTTATTACTGTTAGATGTGTTCTGACAGTGTCATTACCTAGTGTCCATTTGCCATACTTTTAATGTTTATTCTTGTGTGTGTGTGCTTGTATAAGATATAATTTATACACTTTTATTTGAAGGAATTAACGATATATCTCCAGATGGAGTGCAAAACAGTACAGGGAAATTTTACTGGTTGTATCTTAAAGAGTGTATGAGCCTGGAAATGGGTATTTGGGTCTGTAAATGGATATTTAAAAGGAAATATTTGGACACAGGTAAGTGTGTGTATTCAAAAGTTCTTAGAAATTTTGTGACACAAGGAGAACTTACACTACACATCACAGTGACCTTTCCATTATGTGGTTTTATATTTGGTATGAGATATGTAAACTCTACTAAGAGTTTAATGAAAAATTGTTTTTGGTTTTCATTGTTTTAGAGAGCTTGATTCTTATGCTTCATAGCTTGGGATGTCCATTAGGCTACCTTTACCTTTTCCTCAATTTTTTGTTTTTGTTACTTTTCTGAATAAGTTCATATGTCTGGCAGGCTTTCATATATAAATGCAAAATGTATACGTGCAGAAAGGGTAATAGGGACCAAACTCAAGAAAATGTCCCAGGAGCAACAATATTAGAAAAAATGTTAAGAATCTTAGACAAACATTAAGAGCTGGAAAATTAACAGTCTGTAGGACCTTTCAGCATCCAAGCTCCACAGGAGGGCTACTTAACTATGTTTTTGGTGCCCTTGATTGAGCCTACATGTTAAAGGACAACATTCACTGTGAATTTGCTTTTTCTGCACAGTCCCTTAATGTTAATCCATTGTAGTTTATTGGGTGATTACAGTGAAGAGGTTTTTGGTCCAGGAGGAGTAAGAAAGCATTCTGTACCAGCATTCTGCCCATCTGGACATGAAAATGCTTGTGGCTTTTGCCTCGTATACTTCAGATTATCCATTCTCCTCGCATAAGCACTCTCAAATTTTTACTCATTTAATATATCATGAGATATGTTGGGTACTAGCTAATTTTATTTATCAGCTTATGTGTATCTGAATTGCCTAATAAGGAATGTTAGTGGGTTCCTCACAAATTGTATATGAATTTGTGACTATCTTGTGTTAATTTGCCATTATTACAAATTGTAGATTCTTAGCAGTTGTACATGGCAAAACCAAGGGAATCATCCTATATCATGCAGTGCAGAGGGAATATTAACCTACTAGAATTAGAAAAAGGAGACTTTGTTTATTCTGTAATTCATTTTTTTTAGAACCCAACTACAACCATTTTTTATTTATACAATATAAAACTCTTCAAAAGATGCACTCCTTTATTCCACCAATGGTTAAAAAAACTTTATGAAACAGAAATATAAAGCGTGCATTTTACTTCCATTTAAGATTCATTAAAAGTTCACGAGCCTATTATACAAATGAATTGAATGTGAGTAGTAATGTGAAGGAGGCTGTTTTTGATTTCCACTGGCAATGCCATTCTATCCACAGAACAAATTTTACTTAATTTAGTGAAAGTGTAAAAAATTAAATTTTTAAAATGAAACATGGAACAGTAACAAAAATAATACTGTAGGAAATATCTCCATTAGAAAACAGATGAACAAATTCTGACTCCAATTTTTTTCTGAGGCATGTCAAAATCTCAACATGGAAAGTTCCATTCATTTGAGAGTTTTCAACACATTTTCAGTGTGGTGATTATTTCAGTGTATATATCAAGCAGCATAACACATACTACTGTTGCTCACATTTGATGCACAAGTTTAATCTCTGTGCCAGTCTCTTACTTCAATGTACAGTTAATGTAATGACAATTACTCATTATTATTTTTGTGCATGGGATAAATGGGAACCTGGACCTAGCTGTATAAAATCTCCCACATACAGCATAGTTAGGTTATTCTCTGAAGATTCCATTATTTTATGGTTACTTTATTATTTTTTAAATAAGTTTATTTAGTGTGAAAATACCATACCGAGGGGTTACAATTACATGAGCAAGGTAATACGTACATTTCTTATCAAGCATTGTTGCCTCCTCCTTTGTTTTTGCTCTACCATCCCTGCCCTCCCATCTCCACAACTGCACTCTCTGCTTCCCCCTACGCCCCACCTCCTGCCAAAGTTGTCAAGTTTGTTTTTCAACTTAGCATTTTGTACATCTCATTGTTGCAATGGGTCCACCTGTATCCCTATTTAAACGATTTGTTTTTTTCTCTTCCCCTCCCCAAATTATACCAACATCAAATACAGTGAAAACAGAGGTTATACCATGGGGGAGGGACAAACAAAGCAACAAAACAGTCACCTTATAAATATGTTAGAAACAATAGCAAGAAAGAAAAAAAACACTTTTGTCCTGATCTTGGGGTTCATTTCACCTAACATCATCTTATCTGACCTTTTCTGCTTGTCTCAGACATATACTAGGTATTGCAAATAAGGGAAACCATGGAACCTGTTTCTTTGGACTTGGCTTACTTCACTTAACATAATTTTTTCCAAGCCTTTCCATTTCCTAACAAATGGAATATATACTATATTTTCTTGATCTATTCATACCGAGGGGCATCTGGGTTGGTTCCATGGCTTAGCTATGGTAAATAATACTACAATAAACATACCTGGAACTCAAAAAATTAAATCCCCCAACAACAAATCCTCAAAGAAACTGCCCAATAAATAAAGACTTACAGAGAAACTTCTTTGAAGAGGAAAGAAGGATGGGCAATAGACACATGAAGAAATGCTCAACCTAGCCATAAAAGAAATGCAAATCAAAACAACACTGAGATGCCACCTCACCCTGGTTAGAATGGCTATAATCAAGAACTCTATAGGTCTTTGGGTTTATTTCTGGGTTTTCAATTCTATTAGTCCTGAGGTCTGTTCTTGCGCCAGTACCAAGCTGTTTTGATTACTATGGCTTTGTAGTAGAGTTTGATATTCCTCCAGATGCTCTAGTATATGTCTGACTCAAGCAGAAAAGGTCAGATAAGTTGATGTTAGGGGGATGAACCCCAAGATAAGTATTCAAATGGTTTTTTCTTCTTTCATGCAACTGTTTCTAACATATTTATAAGATGATTTCTATGTTGCTTTGTATGTCCCTCCCCCAAGGTATAACCCCTGCTTTCACTATATTTGATGTCGGTATAATTTGTGGAGAGGAAGGGAAAAAACAAATCGTTTAACTAGGGATACAGGTGGGACCCATTGCAACAACGAGATGTACAAGTCCTTATGTTGAAAAATGAACTTTACAACTTTGGTGTGGGGGGGAGGATCGGGTCGGGTGAGGTGGGGGGAGTATGGGAAGGGATGGTAAGGGGAAACAAAGAGGAGGCAACAATGCCTGATAAGAAATGTACTCGTAAAAAAAAAAAAGAAATGCACTCATTATCTTGCCCATGTAATAGTAACTCCTCTGTACGGTATTCTCACAATAGAAAAAAAAAAAAGAACTCTACTAACAGCAGATGCTGGAGGGGATATGGACAGAAGGGAGCCCTACTGCATTGTTGTTGGGAGTGTAAACTTGTACAACCACTTTGGAAAGCAGTATGGAAGTTCCTCTAAAGACTCCACGTAGAGCTCCCCTATGAACCAGTAATCCCACTTTTGGGTATTTACCCGGATGATCACAAAGAAGACCACACTAAGGTTATTTTAATATATATATATATAAACACAGTAAGTGAGTTCTGGGTGCTGAATGGTATGAATACTACCACAACTAAAATCATGGCAAGGAAATACTCATCTCCTCCACTGTTTTGGGTTTGCTTTTTTCTACCCTTAGCTTATGGGAGTAGACGTAATCTTTATAGTTTAGTATAATTCATAAAAATTTAGGTTTAAGAAAGGTTATTAAAAACTTAAAAAGTTTCAAATTGTTATTTGAATATTGCTTAAAACCTTAAATGTCAACTGAAAGAGTGGAAATAATTCTACTTGATCATTTTAAATAAGCTATTCATTGTGTTCTGCAATGATACAGGCCCAGCTACAGCATATTTGAGATAAGACAAAGAATAAAAACTATAGAAGAGTATATGTCTGGTTTTACAATATTCACAGATGGTGACAACTCCTGTTTCACCTAATATGGTATGATGAACAAATTCTATATCAGCCTGGAAAAATAGAAAAGAACACATAAATAAAGGAATAAAATGAAGTAATGGCATGTTCAGAAAAAGGAAAAGATGTCTTAGTCCTGGACCATAAAAATGATATTTTAAAGTATTTCAGAGAGAGAGAAAACTATGAACATTAACCATTTCAAATCCAAGTGCAATCACTTCATAGGATAAATAACAAGAAAAAAAATACTATTCTATATCAACAGCCATAATGAGAATATGATGTCACCCAGGTTATATCAAAGTGAATT